GCAGACACAACTAACACTATGCCATTAGCCTAAGTAATAGATACAAAAAAGTGATCGATTTCTTATAATAGAACACATATTTCTCTAAAACTCCGTTTTAAATGTGATCTTTAGTTACAAAAAAAAACAGTAATACTTGAACATTTAGTCAAGGAATACCCGCACTATTTTGTCCATCATGTTTAGAAAGTCGCGTTGATCCGGAGTTTTCATCATGGTAATGTCATACTTGGCACTTGCAAACTTATACCACCAGTTATTGTTGATGATGGTAGGGGATTGTGAAATACATTTTTCTAATAGTTCCATGGCCAACTTGAATGCGGGATAGCCCATCTATTAAACAGTAGACATATTGCACTAAGTCATATACATATATATATGAATGGGGTGTGGCTTTTTAGTACGGCTGGCACGAAAAACTGAAAGTATGTCTAAAAACTTTCTAAGTAACATATGTCATTACACTTTATGCCTATGTTAAGCAGCAAAACTTTCCCAACACTTTACTGAATATGGAGAAAAATACATGTTGTACAGTATAATTTCGGCCTCATTAAACTATAGAAGTGGCTTTATTTGTCGAAAAGATTCGAATCCTTTTTTAGTTCCACCTGGAAAACAACAAGTCAGAAAAGGGCTACAATATACTCGAATTTGCTTGTCACATATTGTTCATTTAAACTATCCCCGAAAAGAATAGTCTTTGATCGACTCAACTAGAAATATTTAAGAAGATAGCGTCACGCCACCTTTCACAGTAAAATGTGAATATCCTCTCAACAGTAGAAAGTCAACATCTGAAGCTTTCACCATTTACTATAAAAGTTTCAGCCAATTGGAATGACTTATTGAAATGTTACAGAGAAAGCGATTCTCAAAATGTCACTCTACAAAGTGAATATAATAAATTTTTTTTTAGAAAGTTCTTTTATTCTTTTCTGAAACAAAGCTGATAAGAGAGAAATTTTTCTCGCTAGTTTCTTACTGCAAGAGTTCACTCGCCTCTCATATGGTTTGTGTACTACCAGCTTTATCTCAGAAAGAGCCACAATTGACTTCGTGCTACTCTACACAAAAAGCATAGACGTGTCTGTTTAAAATGTCGCCGTTGGACAAGATAATAAGAAACAAATAAAATTTCAATTAATTACATGTTTCTACAAAGTTTCGAATGCTATGGAACTTGGACTATTGATATTTTTGGTCTCTTGTTTTATCAAAGTTAAAGACTTTCGTTTTTTTTTGCCCACCTCATCAAAAATTGCCGCTCTTTTGTAATGTATCACGTATAAGTTAGCGAATGTGTGAGCTAGAGAACTGAAATTTCATATGAGTGTAGGGCGATCAGAGTGGAGTAACATATACAAATTTATCCAAATCAGTCAACAACACAAAAGTTTCTCGCCAAATACCGAAAAAAATCTCAATCGTACCAAAAATTTGCAGTTCACTCGCGTATATACTAACAGCAGCAGCTTCCTTTTCGCATTTCTCTGTGGTTCGTTTGTCCATACCACCGCACATGTAGACCAGGTTTTCGATCAAAGTCGACTTGCCTGAGTTGACGTCACCGATAACGATAACATTGATATACATTTTTTCTTTTCCCATTAATGAAGAATACTTGGCGTCGCTTAAATTCAAAGAAAAACATCATGATTCAAAATGTAATATACATGTGCATAGAAATAATGTGAATCAGCTTCACCAGTCTTGCGCAATAGACATGTGAAGTAATGATATTTCAAATCATTTACACGATTGTAGAAACATGTCTGTTTCTTTTCTGAAGAGGGAGATATATAGCTTAAACATCAAACGATATAAAACTGAATTTCATTTCAAATAATACCTGTTGAAAATACAAATGAATAGTAGAATCGCCTGCAAAATAATGACAAGTACTGCTTTAATTCATATGTTAGTGATTACTTTCGTTCTGTTGTTATTCTTTCTAGTTGTTCTACATCGATGTATAGCAATAACATCGTCACAACAACAGAACAGAGAGAAATAGTGGTTGCTCACCTTCACAGCAAATCACATCGTTCAAAGCGACAATGCGTTTCTCTGTAACGCTACTTGTGTTTGGCGAAACAGAGCACAAAAGTACATTCGAATCTCTCTCTGTTCCATAGTTTTTTGTTTTTATGAACAGCGGGAAGCAGTCAGCTACAATATTGAGAGTAGCGAAACGAATATTTTTACTAAAAGTTTCAGAGCCAACGGTGTCAGATGATTGAGAATCAGATAGATAATGAGTAATGAGAATAGTTTCACTCTTATCAGTTCCGTCCCAACAAAAACTAATCAAGTTACATAGATATTCTTTCTACTTCTCGACTTGGTATCTCATCATACTTTCCTCATTGAATTACTCTACTTGTGAGTGTTGATCCTAGAGCTGGAGCCAATGGTGATGTACCGTGTGAGCGTGGGTAGATGAGTAGGTGCGAATATTAGCAATAAGAATACCTACACGCACCAGACTCTCACATCCCTCACACTTGACTATTGTATGTGATCATTTGGAAAAAAATCAAAGTACCCGCATAACACAGAGATGTTCATCGACCGACCCAGTTGTTGATACTGATTCGGAATATCATGTTTTTTTGCATGGACATTGAATTCTGGTTGAAAAAATTGAGAATTAACAGCAGAATTTTCAGTTTTTTGCTCCGTATTAAGGAAAAAATTAATTTAATCAGGATAGAAAATAATTTGAAAAAGAGCGATGCAAACGTTTGTTGTCTATGAAATGACGATTAGAATGACATCAGAATAAAGGTTTTATGATGTACAGGAAAAGTTAGATGGGTTTCGGAAATAGGCCACTGCTATCGACGGGGCACTGTGTCATGAAGTTTTTTTTTGGAACGAGCACACTATAGGAGAGGAAGCTCTAGACAATATTTCTAGTCTCTATTTCTTATGAGGAATCCAAAAGTCACATTTGAAAAAACAAGAACTGCAATAGTGAAGAGTTTAAAGATGCTTTTCAAGAAAAAAACGATTTTGACGATTGTGACACCGTCGCACTTTTCTGAACTTTTTTGCCATGAAAAGATTATCAAATTGAAAAAGTAAGGACATACTCATGATCAATACAAAACTGAATAGAGCAACGTAAAATTCAACTAAAACTAAAAACAAATTCAATTTTTCGTTACGTGCACCTTATTTATTTTTTTCGGTTGTTTATTTTTTCAAAATTTTATGATCTACTCTTTTTTGTTATTTATTGATTTGTGAAAAAGGTTTTATAATTAATCTTTACAGTGACATTCGAATTAACTATTTATTTTAGTAGAATAAAATCAGATCAAACTGCTGATTAAGGTTCAGCTGTCCATATTAGCTCTATTGAAGTTCTTGAGCAGTGAAGTAAGCAAAACCAAACAATTCACATCTACACCCACACCCACTCATAGGTTGAAACTAAGGAATATTGGAATCAATACGATTGCCCCATCACGAATAGACTTAGCTCGCTCCTATCGATCAATCGTTCAACTTTTGATTACTCAACATGGAGAACTGACTCTAGCACCCAATACTACGTTGGTGTTTTCATTTTCTCATCTGTTGAGCTTGACGGCGTCAATTTTTCTTCTGCTGGGCTTATGAATGTCAGCTTTTAGTTGCCTATGATGACATTTTATGATACTGTTGGTAAAGAACATCGGCTCGCTTAAAAACTTAATAATAAGCGACATTTCTCACATGTTCTGTCTTTTTGCATATTTATCTTTGTTGTCAAAAAAAAAAGATTAATGATTTCGGTCCTTTAGATGTATTGCAAGCATGGAACATTTATGACAATTGGTTACTGCGCTATGCTTAATCTCTTCCTTCTTCAAACAACATACGATAAGAATAGTAAAAAATGACTTTTTCGTGCAAGACAGCGGATTTCTCGTCATCAATTTTCTTTCCATAGTCAATCAGTTTGTGGCTGCTTGATTTTTTTATTCACTATAAATGGGACATCTTTTTCGCAAGTTGACCAAAGTAGATTAACACTAAAAGTGAAAGTAATAATTTTTATCAGCTCCATGAGCCAACATGTGATCGACCCAACTTGACGTCCCGTTTTGATCTTGATTTTTTTCCTGTTAGAAAATGTTTTTGTTGATCAGATTAACGTAATACAAAAACATCTTATAACCTTTCATATTGTTTTAGAATAAAAAAACAGAAAATGAGAAGTCTTTTAGTTTTCATAGGCTATATCTCTGTGCGGCTTGGCTATTTATTAGAGATATATGTATCACACAAAAAAGATTTTCTAATAGTCTGTAGAGTTGCTCAAATTGATCTTGTGATAAAGTACTGCTGTAACAGAAAGAAGACACTTATACAGTGTATCGCTGAGAGACAGAGACGAACAAAGTAATCTGAAGCATTTACACACATTGACCTTGAATAGAGCTCTGCTAGGACAACACGGGATTGATATGAGACCTAACTGATTATCGTGTGTCATGATTGCTTGTCATTTTTGAAAAACTATATGACGCTTTAATCTGCCATGAATTCTATCTTTTCTCCAGGCTATGTTCGGATGAAGAATGAATTTCGACACTTCTAAAAAAATCAAACATCTATGTAAGCCAGTTTCGATCATTATTCTGAGGATGTAGATGGACATGAAGATGCGAGTTTTCGTATAATCAAAACTCATACACATCTACATTTCTGCATCATTAGCCCAAACTGATACTGACGTCCTCAATCTAATCGTACGCCAGTTGTAAATAATTTTTGTTCTGCTACTAGAAGAGAATATAGGCTCCGTCAACAGCTCTGATTTGAATGTTACTTATTGTTTTCTGTGTTTATGTTCAATCATCATACACGATCTTAGCTTTTCTTCCTCTATAGTACCTTACACGCGTGACCGTTTTCTCTGGAAAGAAATTAGAGTTCATCATTCTTCACTTGTTCTTACAATAATTTCTATTCTGTTCAATGTCTAGTTCTTTCAGAGACAGATGTCTTCTTCGAGTTGTACGGTGCCTATAGAAGAACGGTTATCGATTGAAGAACATTCAGGAGAAGTCACTGTGAAAACTCAGAAGATTAGCCGTTTTTTCAAACAACAGTGGGTTAAGTTATCTGATGAAGTATGTGTACTATTAACATTTCATCCGAAAGAATGGCTTAGTGCTTTTCGACACAATTCAAAGTATCCTCTAATTCTACATGGTGACATTGATGGACTTGTTGCATTATTTATCGATAACTTAGCAACATTATTGGCAATTATTCTTGCACTTCAACCTGTATTTGATCCTGACATTGTGTATGGAAAGATAGTAACTGGGTAAAAACATAATGTAATGAGCCAGGGCATTCTACCATTTTTTTATTTAGCGTGGCTCTGGCCATGTTATGGGGAAATATTTATTATGTCTACATGGCCCGAAAGCTTGCTTACAAGGAGAAACGCGGCGATGTATGCACAATGCCGTATGGGATTAATACACCAGGAGCATGTAATTGTCACTAGTCATCGTTTGCATTCATCTATTTGTTTGTTTTCAGTTGCATTTATCTTTGGCATAATCTTTCCTGCGTATTACCAGTGTATAAGTGATGGCAACGCACAAAACAAGCGAATGTGTCAAGAACTTGCCTGGTACATTGCATTAGGAAGTAACTTCATAACGGGAATCATTATACTTGTTCTGTGCTTATTTGGCGAGTTCATTAGAAAGAATACACCCAGTGTTGCACTTCTCTCATCCATATCTGCCATTGGTTTTACCTATTTGGCATTGAATCAGTATTTGCCTGTACTTGCTACACCTATAGTATCGTTTCTACCATTGTCCATTATCATTCTCGGTTATTATGGAAAAGGTGAGCGTGAATACGTCTTTATAAAAGATAACTGTTCATGAACATTGATGTGTATTGTCAGAAACTTCAGTTTCGGACAGTGCACAAATTGTGACAAACATTTTCCTATGGTACTTATTACGACCTATAATAACATGTCGACTTTGTCATTGGCAGTAAAAGAACATAACGTCACAAAGCTTTCCATGTCAGTCTACCACAGCTCCTCACGCATGACAATATTTCTGTATCCATGACATCGGCCGAACGGATGTTGCCAGTGTGATGTCACGGATATCGAGTTGTGATGGACTGATATGGAATGTTTCACTTTTTAATCCAGTAGAGTCTGCTCTGACAGAGCCTATCGTCATTCATTTCTTTCTCATTCCTTAGTCAAAATTGGTCCCATACCAATAGCCGTTGTAGCTCTAATGATTGGCACAGCTCTCGGTTGGGCAACATCAACAAACGAGGCACAAGCCGTACGTGACGCCAGTAAATTAGTTAAACCATATGCGCCAGTATTTCCGGTTCGAGGCATGTTCGAAAATATGAATCGTATCGGTCCGTACCTATCCATCACTATTCCAACAGCTATTTCAATTGCTATTGAAACTGTGCAATGTGTTGAATCAGCAAAGAGAGCTGGTGATTTTTATCCGACTCGGGAGGCCATGTTTGCTGATGGAATGGGAACAATACTTGCAAGCCTATTTGGCTCAATTCTTGGCATGACCGGTGAGATATTTTAGTTTTGTTCAAACCAATAAGATTTTGTTTATTTGTCAGGAAAATTCTACTTTATGCACCTTTATTGACTGCTCCATGATATTCTGTTTTGTCCTGCTTTCTTAGATTTCTTTTCCTTTTTTTTTAAATTTTGTCAGTTTTCGTGAGTTGAAAACAGAAAATTATTTTTTGAAAGATATCTACTGGATAATGTGAATAGTCAGCGATGTCTCGACGACCGAGCGACTCAAGAATTGTAAGGTTCCTCTACTTTCTAGTTGTTGGAGGTCTCTGCATGTAAAGTTATTTAATTCTTGAAGTCCTAGTACACTCTGTTAATACTGAAAAATAACAGCAAGTCGATCCAGAACTTTCTGTTTGTCTACTGTCGGAAGTTCGTAGGAAAATGAGCCATATTTTGATTTTCACTTTTCATTCATACCATTTCAATTGCTTGGGCCTGCTTTAATCACGAGATGATTTGTAAAATGCTTCACAAGGGTATAAAGAATGTTCGATTACACTCTAAAATATAGAGAAACATTTAGGAAATACTGTTGTAAAATCTCAATATATTCCACTTTCTTCTTAAAAACCGGTTTTCTTTGTTTTAGTCCTTGGTACTTTGCAGCAACAGAAAAACTAACTAGCAGTTTCGTAGTGTTAGGGAGAGACCTTTTAATGTAAACTTGTAGAATTAATATGTGAAACATGAGGGATTCATTCCAGTAGTTAAGACCACCGTGCCCACGTCGATGATACTATACTTGAGGGTCAGATAGACTAATATATTGAAATATGTGTCACTGTTTGTGTGGAGAGAGGGCGTCCAACTTGCTCACTTTATACTTCGACACTTATTACCCATCGTGATTAAAAAAACGTTACCTTTTGAGATGGTTCTCGATTGTTTTTCGAAGTGGGAGGGAAGATCTCGAATTGTGAGGCACCGTTTCGAATCGGATACGCACCAGTTTGTCGAGCTCGATGAGATCCATAGTAGTCTTCAATGGTTCGTCTCTATGTACCACTCCGTTCTTCTAAAATTATGATCGTTTTATCATAATCTTGATCATCTGTTAGGTATACATGAAAAGAAAATCTAATTATGAAATTTTGACCTCGTTTGCCCATAGTTAGATCCCGTGATCATTAGAATATCTTGGAAATTCTCTTTTTCAGATATTGAATACTCAAGAAAAAAACGTGATGCATCACTACGCGCAATCAGAAAATAGTGTTTGAATTATTCAATATCTCAAGAAAAGAACATTCTCTGGAGCTGACATTTTTAATACATTCTAATGACTACGAAATCTATCTATAGGCAACATTTTAGCCCAAAATTTCACAAGCATAACCTGAGAAAGGCATCATATGGAGACATATCTATGTATGTTTCTTCAAGTTTGATCGAGCTCCACAAATTGATATGCATCCAATTCAAAGCCACATGCCNACCTGCATCACAAGGACCTGTTGAGTTGTTCTGAAAAGTCCTTAAAAAAGCGAATGAAAGATTGAATGAAATATTGTTACTGCCCATTTTATTGAAAGTAATAAAAATATCTATAATATATCTATTTCTTATTAGCCTTTGCACAAAAAAATCTGGAAACTTCAATGTTTTTTAGAGAAGCAAAATGTCCTCTAGACTAGCTTAATGAATTTTGAGCAGGATTAAATCGACGATGTACAAGATACTAAAATTTTTCGCCTTTTTGAGTCGACCTTGTTTCTCTATGTTCACTTTTGATTATTTAGTGATGATTTTCAAACAGAAAACAAATTACTTCAGTAGTATCATTTTATTTAGTAATGAGTTTTTGTATAGGACGCTTGACTTTGATAATTATCCTATCATTGCTGGAGCATTCATTCTACTGCTATGGTGAAAAATTCCACTGTCGCGTACGTCTTTAATTTTTGCTTTCTCTAAATTGATTACCATATACCGGGAGAACTGTTTTCTCTGGATATTATTGAGCGTTTAATGATACACCTTTCAAAGTAGTTCAAGTTTTTATCATTTTTCTGTACAAAAATGCATGAAAAAAGTTATTATTTCCAATATATATTTTAAATTCAATAGAATCTGAAATAGAAACCTTTTTACACACATTTTCGTTCAGCTGTCTAAAACCCATCAGAGAAAATCAAGAGGTTTTTTGGATAGCTTTGTTAGAAGCCACTGAAATGTATTTTGAAAAAAAATCAAGATTTTAGCATTTATGTATGCAAATTTATATACAAGATGAGCTATATTGATAATATATTTTAGACATACAATATAAACTCAGAATGAGATTCGTAAAAGCTTCTCAAACATTGAGTCTCCTCAACCATGCTTCTTCATTTTTTAGGCGAGACTTGAGACTATTGAATCCTAATGGCTTCTCCGCCTATGCTCAACATATCAAACATATATGTTTGATTTGCTTGATTGAAGAAATTTTTTCATATGCTTATTTGAAATATTGAATTCTGACATTAATTTTTAACAATCTACAAAATCGATGTTATCAAATGTACAAATAAAGAGTCAAATTATATTTTGATAAAACTATAAAGTACAAATATATGTGATCGAAATTTAAATATGTTGCTCTCTCTCTGTCTATTTCGTTTCATTGAAGGAATCCGGTCATTAATATCTAAACTATATCGAAAATATAGTTTTGTGTATTGATATGTGGAGTTAGGTGGTCATAAAAGCTGATATTTCGATCAAACATGTATAGAATACCACCAATTTTCACGATAGAACTCAAAGCATGATATTGTAGGGTATCTCTAAGATTTTTCGAAAATTCTCTACATCTATCATCCTAAACCCACTATTTATTATTGCCTAATTCAATATTTATGGCTTACCATCTTTTTACATTTATAGCTTATGTTATGAGATATACAGTTTTATAACAATTTGTTGTCTACAATGTCATGTTCTTAGTGATAGAATCATAAATGAAAAGTTTTGAACTCATATATGTAAAGAGAATATAAAAAATGATGAATGTTTTCTATTGGACAAAATCATTATAACAAAAGTGGATGTTTCAAATGTAGTTGTTCACTCTATAATATAGCTTGCACATTGTACCGTTTTAAGTACGCATAACTAAAAGAAGAATAATAAATCTCATTCAAAATACTAATGTGATAATTAATCGATGAAAAGCAAATAGCACCATTCAACTTAAGATGATAAATTATCCGTGTGCAGCTACCTTTCATGGGTGTGGATGTATAACGTTGCTTCGATTCATATTCAATGCTTTCCTTTTAATTTAGAATAAAAGGAATTTGCATTATATGTTCATGTAAAGTAATTATTTATGCATTGATTATACAGAAAAAGTTCATGGATGTGTTTTATAAAACCTGAAACATGATAACATATTCGTTGTAGTAATCATGTTCTAGTAAGTGAAGAATATCATCTGCAGGAGAAAACCATACAAAATTGATATTTTCTTCAGTTCTATTAAATCGGCTTAATAATCTCCAATGTTTTCTGGATCGATGTACAATGATAAATATCACCAATATGTTGACTTTTTTTCTCCCTTTTTTTTATAGATGGTGAAGCCTAGAAGAAACAGAACAATAAGAAGAATATAATATATTTTTTGTCATTAACAAGCTCATGGTTTGCTGTTTTATATAAGAATTGAAGAAAGAAAAGGACATGATGATTACCTATGCAAACTTTTGTATTTGATCGTCGGTATCAAGCCTTGGTAATCGATGCAGCAGTTACATATTGTATAATCACGAGAATTGTTTTTAACCAATTATCAACAAATACATATACTTTAACCGAAAACCACTTTCTAATTCATACATATTCCAGAGAAGCATATATTTTGAAAAAAAAAACAAATAACAATATTTATCAAAATGGCAGTCTTTTCATACGCTTGCTTGTAAACTTGTCTACCGAATTTTAGACCATCTTGATATATTACCAATTATTCTATCATGTCGGCATGCTTGTCCCCGACTTACTGCTATCATCAATACTTATCATGGATATCAGGTAAATTTTATCTGCATTTCGATGTTCGTTATAAATCATGAACATATTTGATATGAACAGAAACATATCTTAATTATTTGAGAGCTGAAAACAGTTTTTCGAAGAGAAGTCTCATGTTATGCTTTAATCTTCTTATCACAAGAGAAGTTCCATTTATATTTATGATACTCGTTTGACATATTGATACAGACACCTATTGCTCTGAATTTTTCTAGAAAGCAATTGAATCGGGACAAACTGGTACAATTATGTAATATCTTGCATAATAATACTGTAGGATTTTTTCCTTATTCAGTATATTTTTATTGTTCATCTTTTATACAAACAATAACGAAACTCTATCTGCAACAAAACGAAATTGATGCTAATGAATCAAAATATGTCGCTGCTGCCTTAGAGAAGAATGATGTAAGACTAATTTTTCAGTTTTATTATACTCAAGATTACCATAGATACTCTATTTCAATCTTTTACACATTATAAAAGTGCTGTCCCTTTGAACTATATATTTCCGAATTCGTTTAAGCTTTTTCTCTCCATTGTATACACACGCAATCAATCGTATATCAATAAAATCCGTAGGGTGTGGGTGGGTATGAAAGTAGGTGTCTAGGTGTGGGTGTGGTTGTGGGTGGGGGTGTGGGGGTGGGATGTGTGTGGGTTTTAGAGAAGAGAGGAACAACACCCACACCCACGCCCACGCCCACACCCACACCCATCCACACCCACACCCACGCCCACGCCCACACCCATCCACACCCACACCCACACCCTGTTCTACTGATGATTCCGATGATAATTATCATGAGGCTATCAATACCAACAAAAAACGTAAAAAAATATGTACTGGATAACATCCTTCTCAACAAACAGACCAAATACTTAACCTGAACAATAATCGTACCACGGCAACAGCTCTAAATACAACAAATATAACTAATGTCCATTTCAGAGTTAAGTGGCCGTGACCATTTTTGAATA